CCCTCAGTCCGTCATAGCATCTAACCGACCCTAGATGATGGAGATGATGATGATGATGATGATGATGATGATGATGATGATGATGGAGATGATGGAGATGATGATGATGATGGAGATGATGGAGATGATGATGATGATGATGATGATGATGATGATGATGATGATGATGATGATGATGATGATGATGATGATGATGATGATGATGATGATGATGATGATGATGATGATGATGATGATGATGATGATGATGATGATGATGATGATGATGATGATGATGATGGTGATGATGATGGTGATGATGATGACGAAAAACAAGGATGAACATGAACAACGAGTTAAAGTTGATATAGGGATAGCATGAAGGGTTTGAGGGCACTATGGGAAGAAATAACTTTGACAAGGATTTCTCTGATAGCCGGCCTTTAGTAATGCACTAGATCATGGTTTACTGCACGTAGGGCCATGGAGAAGAACAAAAGGGATAGCTTTTTCCTTGGAAGAATCACTGTCTCAACACAAAACTAAAGGGCGATGAAAGTCAGATGTAATAGGATGCTATGTTGAGCAATATGTGTCAGATGTAACTTCCTCGTTGCTGCTGCTCTACCCAAAAAACCCTCCCTCCCTTTAATGCAGTCGCAGGAGTCTGACCTCGCTGAACCCTGCACGGAGCTCTCAGGATGGAAATGCTCTCCATGCTCTACCAGTGAGTCCCTTGCCGCTCATGCTCACTGCCGGCCATGGGGCTGACCGCCTCCTCCAGTTACCATCGCAAGTTCACCGGCAACGTCTGCACTGACTGGCGACTCACTCACGATCTCCATACACTGGTGGAGGGCGAGGACGGGAAGTCGAAGCTCGTTAAGAGCAAGGCGTTCGAGCAGTTCCTCAATCCGGACTATGCGGGAACTGAAGCAGGTTTGATCCTCCTCCCTCCTCTATACACAGCTCCTCGTGCTTGAATCTCTACTGTCCCTGTCCACTCCTGCTCCTCGTCCTCGTCCTCGTCCTCGTCCTCGTCCTCGTCCTCGTCCTCGCCCTCGTCCTCTCCCTCCTAGTTCTCAGGTTGTCTGTCCAGTATGGCGATCTAATGCAAGGAGCAGGGAGCTGTCAGGAAGCAGGATACAAGTCCAAGCAGCTCAGGTTCTCCGTGTATGTCAAGTCACCGGCAGAGGCAGCTACGCACGTGCAAAGCATCCTCTAATGAGCTCTTCCCCCCCCTCCACCCCCCCCTTTTTCTCCTCCCTTCCTTCCTCTCTCTCTCTCTTGCCACTTTCCAAGACTTGTAATCTAATAGCAGCGGCAACTATCAAGCAAGACCAGAGTTTCTACAAGATCATTTACAACCCTCGCTCCTTCTCCCTCCCCCTTCAGCTTGTCTTGCCCGAGTTGACTAGCATGGAGAGCCAGGACAGGTCGGACGAGTAGCCCAGCAGAGCTTCGGCAAGGCGAGGAAGATGGTTGGGCCGGTAGGGCAGCATGAAGTGCAGCAGGTCCATCCACCAGCTCTGAGGTCCCACCGAGTGCCAGTGAACGTCGTCCTCCCTGAAGATGCGATCCAAGTCCTCCGGCAGCCCCCGCTCGACCCTCCTCCTCACGCTGCGTGAGGAGGAGGAAGAGGAGGAGGGAGGAGGAGAAGGGGAGCTGTTCCGTTCCAGGCGGAAGCGGAGAGAGCCGTTGCTCTCCCACACCCAGTCGCGGAGGATGTTGTTGTGTCGCAGCTGCCACAGGAGGCCGGACTCGATCACTAGCGCCATATCCTCCTCCGTCAGCAGCACGATCTCGCTCTCCTGCTTCCTCGCCCGCAGCAGCGACGGCTCAGCGCTCGCGCTCCTGATCTTGGTCTTAGCGTGCAGCTTTCCCTTGTCCGATCCCTCGATGGCCCACTGAAGGATCTTCCTTCCCCTCTCCCGCTGTATGTTCCTTCTCGTCTGCCTCACCCCCCTTGTCCTCCTCCTCTCCTCCTGCCGCTGGTTCACCCGCGCAAGCGCATTCAGCCCGGCAAAGATCGAGGTTTGCTGCATCCTGGTCAACTCCATGGCTGTCGATCGCGTCCGCTCGTCCATGCCGTCGTAGCTGCACGAGGATGATGATGATGATGATGAGGAGGAGGAGGAGCTGAAGAAGATGTTGAAGAGCGTTTCCGCGTCCTCTACCACCAGGATGAAGCTCTTGCTCATCTCCGAGCCTGCAGGCCCCAGCGACAGCATGGCAGGCTGCTGGCTGATCTGAAGCCAGAGGACGCGACCGGTCTCGTGGTAGCACTCGAGGCAGACGGACGCGAACTGGAAGGAGCGAAGAGAGGTCAGCATGCGCTCCTGCTCCTGCTCGTCCGTCTTGGGCCCGCACAGGAAGCTGAGCCACTGGCAGCCCTTCGCCTCCCTCGCACTGTAGCCGGTGAGGAGGGAGAACCGGTGGTTGGACCAGAGGATACAACCGGTCTCGTCGAGCCAGCAGAGGCCTGACTCCGCCTCCTCCTCCCGCATCTCTTCCTCGAAGCCTCTGATGACTTCGTCGGTGAAGGCGAGGGCCGAGGAAAGCTTCAGAGTCTTCTGGAGGAAGAGGTGGGACTTCTCGATCTTCCAGAGAAACCTGAGGGAAACGATGAGGAAGGGAGGGAGAGGGAGGGGAGAGCTGAGGAGAGGATGGGGGCAGAGGAAGAGAGGAGACGAGAAGAGGGATAGAAGAGGAGAGGGGAGGAGAGGGGAGGGGAGGAGAGGAGAGGGGAGGAGAGGAGAGGAGAGGAGAGGAGAGGGGACTTACTGTATCTGCTCCTCATAGGACATACTTAAGAATGACTTGCTGCTCTCTACCTCACGGCATTCAGCCGACGTGCATGGAGCCTCGCTATGAGGCAAGTGGGGAGAGGAAGTAGGAGGAAGGAGAGGAGGAGGGGGAGGAGAAGGGGGAGGGGGAAGAGAGGGAGGAAGAGCTGTTGGGACAACGCCTTCTTCTCCAGTCACGTCACAGTCGAGATCGAACTGAGTCAGCTTCATCATGAGCTCCTGCGCAAAGTTCAGGAGAGGGGCAGCTGAGGAGGAGGATGACGAGGACGAGGACGAGGAGGAAGCAGAGGAGGAGGAGGAGGAAAGGGAGGAGGGGTTTGAAGAGGAGAGGAAGGACGAAGATGAGGCAGAGCTTCACATTCTGCAGCTCATCCAACGACAGCACGTCGCATGAGGTGGACTCGTGGCTCTTCTTGTCCTCCAGCGGAGAAGAAGGAGGAGGAGTTAAGTCCTTGCTAGTTCTCCTCCTCTCCTCCTCCTCCTCCTCCTCCTCCCCGCAGCTGCTCTCATGCTCCTGATCCCTTAGCACCCTCTTGCTCTTCGAACGTTGAACCTCCCGGAGGAAACTCAAATCGCAGGCGCAGGAGCACACGGTCCGGTTGGACTGAGAAGAATGTGAGGAGAAGGAAGAGGAAGAGGAAGAGGAAGAGGAAGAGGAAGAGGAAGAGGAAGAGGAAGAGGAAGAGGAAGAGGAAGAGCGAGGAAGACAGAGGGAGAGGAGGAGGAGGAGAGAAGGAGGAGGAGGAGGGAGAGGAGGAGGAGGAGGAGGAGGAGGAGGAGGAGGAGGAGGAGGAGGAGGTGGTGGTGGTGGTGGTGGAGGAGGAGGTAGGTGAGGAAAGTGGAAGG